ACAGAACATGTTTAATATTTCAGTTTCTCTTCACAACCTCTATATCATGGGAAAATTTTTCATCAATGTCATGCATGAATTTCTTTCATGAATGAATTTGCTTCTTATTGCTTTTGAGTAATCCTATGATTATTCTGGTTATTCCTGTGAATTCCTTTTCAGGATTTTCATTAATCTCTGTCCTCACATTCTAATACTGAAGTGTTGTTGTGTTGCTTTGACAAAGTCATATTGTCTTCCTTATAGTTTCTTGTTTGTCTGTGTTTATTTTTAGGCATTTGTGGAGACATTTGTTGGTTTTCTCCACGGATGGGTTTTATCTTTGAACTATGCCTCATACTCAGAGGCATATGCTGGGTGGGGCCTTGGAGCTCTGGACCGTGTTCAAGGGTGGGGTGAGAATCCAGGGTGACATCCAAGTTGGACGTTGTAGAATTTCTCTACTGTCAGGAGGGAAGAGGGTATGATCATTCCTGTTGGCATAATCAGAACTTCACCTCTTCTCTTCCAAGATGATCAATGAATGGGGTTAGCCTACAGTGGACAGAACCCTTACCCACACACACTGCACAAAGGACCTATACAGTTCTCAGTGTGAACACTGAACTCTCTTCAATGACCCACCCTAGATAGGGCGTTCTGAGCCTCTGATGAAAGACACAGTGGTTGCCCAGAGATCTAACTCTACACCACACCCTATTGTGCAGTCTCAGAATTCCCACAGCCACAGCAGGCAAGGCTCTCACAGTTATGGTGTGTAGATGATACCCTCCCAGCCCCATGAGCCTGTCCCATCCACGGAGAGAACAGAGACATTCCCAGAACCCAGCTGCTTGTGGGTGATCTGCCTTCACATTTTGAGCCCTGGAGCACATGATAGGTTGAGAGGATGGGAGCACCCCACAATCCTAAATGGATGCTTAGCCCCTTGTCAACCCTCCCAGCCAGATTCAAAGTCAGTGGGAAATGTGGATTTTTCCCTCTGGTAAAATCCCCTAGTTGTACACATCAGAGCTGCTGCAGCCTCTACAGGTATCAAGATGGCTCCTTCTCTGCATTGGTTGCTGGTGCTCTTGTGGGAAAATGGGGAGAAAGAAATGTGCTTTTCCTTCATTGGAGTAGGTGGGTACCCTGCTCCCCACTAGGGCTCTAGGAGGATCTCAAAGGCAGCGTGGTCTGCAAAGTTATCTCTCATGCAGTATAACCAGTGACCGGTTGTTCAGTCTGCTTTCACCTTTGCTCTCAAAGGTTGCTGTCTCTTCCTGGCCCTGGCTGTGGGAGTCATATATGGTGTTCTCACTGCTATGTGTCCACTCTTCCCATGCTGCTCCATGGAATCCATCTTCTTTCTATAGAATTTTCATGACAAACTTCCTTCCAACTCTCCCCTGGGAATACACTTGATCTGCTTTTCTTATGCTGTCTTTCCCTGGTCAAAGTCAGTATATCTTTTCATTATTCAGCCTTCTTGGACTCCCCCTCTGTACCCCCACGTTTATAGCAGTTCAAGTCACAATAGCTCGGATATGAAACAAACCCATATGTCCATCAATTGATGACTTGACCAAGAAAATTTGGTATATATATGTGATGGTATACTACTCAGCCATTAAAAAATAATGCAATACTGTCTTTTGGCACAAGATGCAGTTTGAGATCATTTTGCTTAGTGAAATAAACTAGTCCCCCCAAAAACAAATAATGTTTTCTCTGATTTATGGTAATATATTGACTACAAAAATTGATTTGATTATTGCTTATAACCCTTGTCTATACTCCTGAAGAACAGTTGTTTTTACACTTACTACTGTTAAATTTTTCATTTCTTAAGATTAACTATATTATGGCTGGTACTGCAGTGCTGGCATCACATATGGGCATCAATTCACATCCTAGGCGCTAAATTTCTCATCCTGTTCCCTGCTAATGTGTTTGGGAAAGCAGTGGAGGATGGACGAAGTGCTTGGTCCTCTGTATTTATGTGGGAAACCCAGAAGAGGCTCCTTCTTGGCTCCTGGATTTGGACTCGCCCAACTCCAGCCATTTGCACAATTTGGAGAGTGAACCAGTGGATGGAAGATCTCTCTGACTCTCTCTCTCTGTAACTCTGCCTTTCAAATAAACAATCATTTTTAAAAAGTCCTTTTATGATTTTTTATTCCTTGGTGTGTGTCTTTGTGTGTGTGTGTGTGTGTAATTCAACAAATAAGTGAGTACATTTATGTATATATTTATGCATATTTATAAAAAGAAAATGACAAAAGCTAACCATAAAATTGATTCAGCTGTTCAAGAGAGCATCTCATATTTTCAAGTTTATTCTTTATCGTTAAACACAAACTCAGTCAATTTTCACATTCTTTTGACTTTGTGTTAGCCCTTTAAGAGTGAGAGACTGTAAAAATGTTTATTGAAATAAATGAAATAAGATATAGTCTTGAGGCAAATTTAAATTATTGCATTTGTTGGGATTTACCTTCTTTTTTATGAGTTTCTGTGTAAATATTCTACCTAATATTCTACTGGATTTTTTATTTAACTTTTTAAAATTTAATTAATTGAATTTATTTTATTTTAATTTTAAGTTTTCTGGGTATGATCTTTTAAATAATTTTCCACTCAGTAGAGTCTTTACTGATAAGAAGATATCCTGTTGATTAATGCGACCTGAAATTTCAAATATACAAGAAAAATTATATTTAAAATTGAAAATAATAACTCAATTGAAGTCTTCCAGATGAGTCACAGGGACCCATGTATTTGAGTCATCACCTGGTGCCTGGTGCCTCACAGGAAGTTGGATTAGAAATGGAGGTTTACTCTGATATGGGATGGAAGCCATCGAACAATGTTTTAACAGCTATGTCAAATGCCTGCCCCTATAGTGGCTTTAGTAAGGATAGTTTCTGATTTTTCATAGAATTAAGGTCAAGGGATAGCTCAAACTAAATGAGAAACAAGTGGTAGTACTTCAAATAATGATCTCATAAGCATATGCAGGGTGAAAATGATAAATATATCAATTTGTATAAATATAGATAAAATTATATGATTTATATAAATGCATTATACTACATGTATATCACATAATCTGATCAAATGAACAAATAAACTCATGCATATGTTAATATTCTGATCAGATACATACACCATTCACACATATAATTTGCTATCAACAACAATCTATTACATTATTGAAGACAGATATGATTTCATTGGTTAATGAAGAATCACCTGGTAGCAATATTTGGGAAGGAAGTGATTACCAGGGATTTCAAAAGCTCATGGACAACGAAATTTTAAAATAAGTTTATTTTGGCAAAATATTTTGGAAATCTATTCATGAAAGTGAAACATCAAAGAGTTCATGGAAATGTATGTTATGAAAAAAAATCATGTAGATTTCAAAAAAAATTTTTCTGCATTACAAGAAGTATCTTTTAATTTAATTTTCCAAAAAAAATTTTAAATACCTTAATATAAGCAGAAAAACATAATTAAGATGACTAACTGTAAGTTTTTAAAACTGATAGGTGAGTAGTTTGGGACCCAGTGTATTTGTAGAAAAGTACCTGGATTTCAGTGATGAGGGGTGAATAGCACAGGCAGATGAAAATGGAATGCTCATATTTTAAAAATATAGAAAGGGAGAAAAATGATGAAGGACCTTTCAGGCACAAAACATCCAAATTCTTGCTCATTTTAATGGTTTTCCCAGTCCCACTAGCCACTTTGAAGTCATATCGTATACACATTATTTGAACTTTGTGAATATTCATTTAAAAGCCCTCATGTGCAAAACATATCTAAATAATCTTTTTTTTTTTTTTTTTTTTGACAGGCAGACTGGGCAGTGAGAGAGAGAGACAGAGAGAAAGGTCTTCCTTCCCTGCAGTTGCCGCTGCAGCAGGCATGCTGCGGCTGGCGCACTGTGCTGATCCGAAGCCAGGAGCCGGGTGCTTCTCCTGTTCTCCCATGGGGTGCAGGGCCCAAGCACTTGGGCCATCCTCCACTGCACTCCCGGGCCACAGCAGAGAGCTGCACTGGAACAGGGGCAACTGGGACAGAATCCAGCGCCCCGACAGGGACTAGAACCCAGTGTGCTGGCGCCGCAGGCAGAGGACTAGCCTATTGAGCCGCAGTGCCATCCAATAATCTTTATTTTTACTAATTTACTTTTCCTTTTAACAGCATTCTTAGTTTAATCCTAGTAAGCTAAAACATACTTCCTTCCAATGCTGTCAATTTTTTTCTAGAGCTACTCTTACCAAATTCTTTAATCTTTCAGCTTTCAGAATTTATTAGGCTTTTCAACTGGCCTGAACAAACACAGCCAGAAGGGCATTTGAAGGCAACAAAGAGAAAGAGAGTCTGCTCATCTCTCTTTGCTCAGAGAAGTACTCTGAGGTTGGAATGCCTTCCCGCTGTTTAGCTATGTCTTCTCCATTTCAAATTGCTTCTCATTGTATTCCTGATTGCATGCTAACTTCTGCTTATTTCCCATGTGAGAGTCCTATGTGAGTTGAATTGCTCCAAGAAGTGAAATTCACCCAAATAAAGTGAAATGAAAGATGTTTTCATGGCTAGTATAATTTTCTGGAATTTTCCTACTCACCAAACTACCCTAACTATGTGGAAAATACAATGTAAGTCTTGAGTAATTTTATATCACTATTAGCTGAATGGATTACCATATTCAAGTTTAGTGGGTTTTTTGAGAGAAACAGTACTATTTTAGCATGATATGTATTTATAATGCAACAACTTATAAGCCTCTGAATGTTTAAACGTGTTTCAATTTCAATTTTTGTTTTTTACATAAACTTGATTAAAATTCCTTGTATGCCTTAATAATTGACATAAATATTTTAGAGTTAATTATTTACTAATAATTGACTAACAATTTAATAACATTCTACAATCATTATTGTTTCAATAAAAAAGTACTATATTTTTTTAAGATTTATTTTGATTTATTTGAAAGACAGAGTTACAGAGAGGTGGAGACAGAGAGAGAGGTCTTCCATCTGATGGTTCACTCTCCAAATGGCCACTACAGTTAGAGCTGGGCCAATCCGAAGCCAGGAGCCAGGAGCATCTTCCGGGTCTCCCACGTGGATGCAGGGGCCCAAGGACTTGGGCCATCTTCTACTGCTTTCCCAGGCCATAGCAGAAAGCTGAATCGGAAGAGGAGCAGCCAGGACTAGAACAGGCCCATATGGGATGCCAGCACTTCAGGCCAGGGCTTTAACCTGCTACGCCACAGTGCCGGTCCCTATATTTGTATGAGATCTATACATTTCTCTTTAAACTTTTGGAAAGTGAGTCTATGACTTTCTTATTTCTCAGACTGTAGATAATTGGATTTAGCACAGGAATTATGACAGTGTAAAACAGAGAGAAGATCATATCCTGATCATTTGTGTCTGAAGATGTAGGGCGAACATACATGAAGAGAAGAGGACCATAATACAAACAGACAGACAAGAGATGGGATCCACAGGTGGAGAAAGCTTTCCTTAAGCCCTTTTCAGATTTCTTTCTTAAGATTGCAAAGAGAATAAATGTATAAGAGACAAGAATTGTTACAATGGTGAATACCTGAATTGAACCAGAGAAAATAAAAAGCATTAGAATATTAACAGAAGGATCAGTACAAGAAATTTTTAACAATGGTATAATATCACAATAAAAGTGATATACTACGTTGGAATGACAGAAGGTTAATCTCAATAGAAAACTTTCATGAATTAAGGCATGAATAAAGCCACCCCCAAATGACAAGACTAACAGCCGAATGCATAGTCCATTGTCCATAATCACTGGATAAAGTAATGGTTTGCATATGGCTACATAGCGATCATAAGCCATTGTTGCCAACAGAAAACATTCTGTGGTTGCACTGATTGCAAAAGAAAAAAATTGTATCATGCATTCTGAGAGAGATATTATCTTACTCTTGGATAACAAGTTGACCAGCATCTTTGGAGTCACTGTGGATGATAACCAAGTATCCACCAAGGCTAAACTCCCAAGGAACAAGTACATGGGAATATGAAGGTGAGGGTCATTCCAAATGAGAGCAATGAGTCCCAGGTTTCCCATGATGGTGAGGAGATAGATCAGCAAGAACCCCAGGAAGACAGGGATTTTCCACTGTGACTGAAAGGTAAGTCCCGTGAGAACAAACTCTGCCAGTAAGGTTGAATTTTTCTTTTCCATGTCCTCACTGGATGTCCCCTGAAATTAAAGGCAGAGAGTGTAAAAGGATATTCAATAAGGATTTACAAAGAGAAAAATCAGAGTAGTAGAGTTGAAATAGAATTATAGTCTTATTGGTATACTCTCTAGTTTTATTTATTACCACTATAAAAGAAGAAAATATTTTGAGATGCCTGAAAATGGAAACATGTTTCAGTTTCTTCTGTATTTAAAATATACAGAATTAACATATTTAGAAAAAAAGTAAGAGCTTTGAAACTTGTCTCAAATTTGTAAAAAATATTATTGATTGCCTTTGGAATTTCTCTGCCTGAGAGCTTGTTCAGGGTCAAAAGAAAATAATTCAGAGGCCTGAATTATAAAATGAATTAAATATCATGTGAAGAAAATTGAACTTTATTACTTATACTATAGGCTTATACTAGTAGGTTTTAAATGGAAAGTGATATGAAAAAGCAATCTTGAAATTAATTTTTGAGTGCACAAAATGACATGCAGAAGTGAAACTGAAGTTAGGATATTAATTGGGAAAGAATTACTGTTGTCCAGACTTTCCTGAATCACATTAATCATCCCAATGGCCTAGGGAAAATTCTGGACAAAATATAGATTGGGAGATATTAAGATAAAAATAGAGTCAATGAGATTTTGTAATCTGAATTTTTGAAATGGCCCTTGATGATCCAAGTGCCAAGTGTAGTGCCAAGTCCATGTGTCATATGATATCCAGTGTGATGAGGTTGGCAAAAAGATTAAGAATTTAGAACGTGTAATCACTAAGATTCACTTATATATCAGATATTTAAAAATAGTCAGTGAAAAACAGAATGTTCCTCAAGTCATAAAAAATGAGACTGAGAAATAAGATTCATTGTCAAATTTGTAGGAAGAGTAATCTCTCAACTGCTAGGTGAGATTATATTGAGAAGAGTGGATCCGCTATATGCTAATCAGAATAATGACACGGGTGTCACTAAAGTAGTTGGAGGCGTAGTTACGAATGACCTACCCAGTGGAAAGTGCACACAAAGAACAGAATTGAGATGAATCTAGAAGTTACATTGAAGAGATTATCATGTGGGTATTATTTATGAGGTGGCCACATTTGATCCCCTTTCTGAAACAGTCTTTTTAGTGGACCAAGGCTTCCATCTACTCTGGGAGTCAAAGAGATAGAAATACTTTCACATCTTCCTTGCTCCTAAGTGAGTGGTCTTGATTGAGGTTTGGGAAGTCAACCTCTCCCCTGCGTTCTCCCCAAATGATATTATATATATAATATATATATGTTGAGAGAGAGAGAGAGGCAAAAACAAAACAGAATAAGAGAATTTTGGTAGAAATGGCAACTGAGGCAGAAGTTTGCGATGTCAAGCATGTGCATGCCTCTTCCACAATAGCACTGAGTGTGAACTGGGCATCTGAGTCAAACAGCAGTGACAGCTTTCTTTGGTGAACTACTATTGGGATATGATAATGGAAAGTCACTGTCTTATCTTCCTGCTGAAATTTCAAGCTGATTCATATAATCTCAATAATATTTTGTGATCCTAGGCTGGAAATATGGTTAATATGGACATATATAGCAGAAAGATATTTAAGAACATATTGAAGTATAGGACCAAAGACCAAGATAATACTCTAGTAAGGCAAGAAACGAATAGAGACCTTTCAGTGTGGAAATTAAGACATTCTAGTGATGTTAGTAAGAGCATTATTTTCTTAAGTGTTAGAATCAGGGTCGGAGGATAATTAATAGTGGATATAAAATCAGTAGCACACTAAACCCACTTTACATTTTCTTTAAAATAATTAAAGAAATCATTCCAAATAATCCAAAGAACTCTTGACATTTGTATACTACATGTAGATAAATGTATATATTTTTCATTTTAATAAAAGTTTCCAAAGAGAAATGAAGACTAGATAAAATGGAGAGGAGAATAGAGACAAAAGTAGTGGAAAGGGAAATTTGAGTGAATGTAGAAGCAGGAAGTAAAAATAGAGAAAATATAGATGAGTGGGAAGCAAAAAAGTCAAAGAGGGAAAAGGATATATCAGAGAATGATCCAATACTAAATAAGGGGAAAGGCTCAGAGATTTTATTGTAAATGTTTGCCTTACCCCTGGAATTCATTAAAGTTGTCTTGGCACTCATTTAGAATAGTTTTTCCCATAGAATCTTTATAAACGAGATGTGATTTAAATTTGTTTCATTTTTTTGCATTAATCATTCATAAACATATACATACATACATAATAATGCATATACATACTAGCATTGGCTGAACACTTTTTTTTTTTTTTTGACAGGTAGAGTTGCAGGACAGTGAGAGAGAGAAACAGAGAGAAAGGTCTTCCTTCCGTTGGTTCACTCCCCAAATGGCCGCTACGGCCAGCGCTGCGCCAATCCAAAGCCAGGAGCCAGGTGCTTCCTCCTGGTCTCCCATGCTGGTGCAGGGGCCCAAGCACTTGGGCCATCCTCCACTGCCTTCCCAGGCTACAACAGAGAGTGGGACTGGAAGAGGAACAACTGGGACTAGAACTCGGCACCCATATGGGATGCTGGCGCCGCAGGCAGAGGATTAACCAAGTGAGCCACAGCACCGGCCCCATGAACACTATAATATTATAATTAATATTAGTATATTATATTATACTAATATTGATATTATATATTAGTATATAGTTAGTATATTGTAGTATAATTTTAATATTATATATTAGTATATAATTAGTATATTATAGTATAATATTATATCAATATAATATTAATAATTAATAATATTATGCTACATACTGGTAATTTGCCAAGAGATTAAATTTAGGTACTTTCACCGCCAACAACAGAGAAAGGTAACTATAAGAAATGCTGGATATGCTAATTTGCTTGATTTTATCAGTCATTTTACTTTGTACCTTTTTATCAAGACATCATGTGGGTCCCCTCAAGCGAGAAGGTAAGAGTTGCTTTTTCTTTGCTATTACAGTGATTGGAATTTACTTTGTTTAGAAATCCTCTCATTTACCTTGAAAGTACTTGGTTCTTCAGAGTTTTTGGCAGAATAACATTGGACAAAAGACAGGAAATTAAAAAGGCAATATAAATAACCAATGCCAATATTTCCATTTTACATGCATTTTTTATTTGGAATGGGATTCCCTCCAGGTAATTCCAAATCATTGAATATGTAAAAATTATAAAATTAAGTTTGTTTGTGGGTTCTTAGGTCATAAGTGTCGGAAAGAGCGGTGAATGAATATTTTTCATATATTTCTGCAGTATACATAAAGTATTTGGACACGTAAGAAGAGGGTGAGGAGGGCCGGTGCCGCGGCTCACTAGGCTAATCCTCCGCCTTGTGACGCCGGCACACCCGGTTCTAGTCCCGGTTGGGGCGGCGGATTCTGTCCCAGTTGCCCCTCTTCCAGGCTAGCCCTCTGCTATGGCCTGGGAGTGCAGTGGATGATGGCCCAAGTCCTTGGGCCCTGCACCCCATGGGAGACCAGGAGAAGCACCTGGATCCTGCCTTCGGATCAGCGGGATGTGCCAGCCACGGCAGCCATTGGAGGGTGAACCAACTGCAAAAGGAAGACCTTTCTCTCTGCCTCTCTCACTGTCCACTCTATCTGTCAAAAATTAAAAAAAAAAAAAAAAGAGGGTGAGGAGTTAATATTTGATTGACAGTTTAAGAGTTTTAATCGGAATACTAACAAAGCAGAATATAACTTTTATAACAATCAACAGAAAGATTTTATTTAAGAATCATTGTGTTTTGAATCTTGAAACCTAGTTTCACGTTGCTCGCAGCTCTAAATCACTAAATCTTATACAGTCATTGTTTTTAGTAAAACATGCAAATAAAACATTGTTAAAGGGAATAAATCAATCTTACAATTATTTGTTTACCCAAATTTTAGACACACAGTAAAATATGAAGATGAAGTGCTGTTTTCCTCTTCTCACTTGGCTGTTATGTTATCTAAATTGCTATAAATTCAAAGTATTTTCATCTTTTATATACAAATGAAAATATGTAAATCATTTCTGTCTTACCCAGTTACTGAAAAAAATGTGTAGTCCTTTAAAAATAGCAGACTTCCTAAAACAGAAAAAAAATAAAATAAGAAAGGATTGACAACAGTAAAAGTGGCAATTCTTTTCCTATTGATTCTTTTCAGGGGTTTAGTTTCCCAATCTCCAAAAAAAATGTTGTTTATATTAATTTGTGTGCACACAAGAGTCAACCGGTTGTGTAAGCATGTGCTTTTCTCAGAAGTAGAAGGACTGGAGATCTGAAGTTCTCTTAAGAGCACTAGAGGACTTATCCCCTGTAGGACAAGCTGAAGTCTTGCTACTGGGTACTGTGAATTTGGACAGAAATAAGTCCAGATTTTCCCATAGGACATTACAGACTTAGTAATCAAAAACATTAACTCATTCTAGACAGTTCTAGCCTTAACAATTATAATAGCTCTGTAATCTACTTCTTCTCCATCATAGATGATGCCTCTGGCATGTTTTGTTTATGTAAACTTCAGTTTATATATAAAATTTTATGTTTTATGGGCTTCAATTAATATAGTCTTGTCTGAGAAAAACTCGACTTTAGTCAAGCCAATGCCTAAATTTTCAAAGCAAAATTCTTATCCTTATGCAAACGGCAGCTCAAAACCAGACATATACCAATTTAAGTTGAAATCTGAGGAGAAATTTTACCTGGAAAATATTAGAAGGAGGACTAAAGTAAAGAAGAATGAGAATGTTTCTCACTGAGTGTGTGATACAGTGCCAGAGGTCATTATCACCCTGGATTCATTTCAGGATTTAAAAAGAATGAGACACTCCTGTAGTCTACATTTTTGCTTTCAGATGCATTTCAATTTCACAAGTGTTTTACAGTTTCTTAAAATTTCCATAATACACTCTGCTACACCCTCCAAGGCATCGAAAAAAAGAAATAAGACTTTTAAATTGTAATCTAAAATAGTTTTTCAAAAGAAAATCATGCTATTCAAGTCTGAAGGTACCTAAGAACAATAAATAAACTGCGAGAGAATGATTAGAAAAACATATTGAGCCAGAGAGAAATGGGAAAGTAGAGTGTTGAGAATAAAAAGAGTGGAAAGATAGTGACCCTGAAGGACAAAGTGAGGCACAGAGCCAAACATGGAAATAAATGTTCTAGCAAACAGTGAGAGAATTCAGCCCATGGAGTGTTGAAATCATGAGGTTTAAAGTAGATTTACTTGCTTATTTTTAAATTTAAATGTTTTAGGCCGGCGCCGCGGCTCACTAGGCTAATCCTCCGCCTAGCGGCGCCGGCACACCGGGTTCTAGTCCCGGTCGGGGTGCCGGATTCTGTCCCGGTTGCCCCTCTTCCAGGCCAGCCCTCTGCTGTGGCCAGGGAGTGCAGTGGAGGATGGCCCAGGTGCTTGGGCCCTGCACCCCATGGGAGACCAGGAAAAGCACCTGGCTCCTGGCTCCTGCCATCAGATCAGTGCGGTGCA